GACCCTGCAGAGAGCACAAAATAACGTCTCATTTCCGCTGGCCGGCTTTATCAGTACCAAAGATAAGAGGAAGGGACTATGTATGGCTCAATCCTCTGTGGCGACTAAACTTTGCATTTGTGTATTTGCTCACAGGTTGGTTGCCGAATGCTGCTAAATGTCAAAATCAGATGTCATATTCATGGTTAGGACCATATTTGAGGCCATAGTAGCCACAACCTTGAATGGAAAATTTAGTCGTCACGGGGATCGAACCATTGAGATTAATATTCATTCCTTTTTCTGGCACTACTAAAAAATGAAAGATGCTTTTGTGGTCCATACATGCGCCCCTACAATATTGAGGGATGCATTTCGGAAAAGCGCGGCTTGCCTGAGAGACCCCCCCCTTGTTAGTAGCTGACTAATAATCCCCGTATTCTAATGCCATATGGCCGAATTCAAAGCCATGAGTAAAACTGTTTCAAATAGAGTGATGAGGTTTTCTTTGTTCACAACGAGAGAGTGGCTCCTTGCTAGGCTTGAATAGCTTCAACGTACGTCCCGCGATTCAGTAGGTGTAGGTCATTGCGTCCAAAAATGGATGTTTACAGGATGTTTGGTCTACCAAATAAGAATGGAAGCGAAAAAATGTTGAAAACCGCTTAAAACAACACTGCGTGCAGATGGCGTAGGCTGGGTATACACTCCGACTCTATGGGGTCGTGAGCACGATTGGTTGGCCTTATCTCTTTAGTGTATTCCACATATCATGCGACAACTGATCAACGAGAAGCAGTTGGGGAAGGAGGCAGAAATCCAACCACACGATTGGCAGGCTCTGTGATTTTAAGGGTTCCTAGCAGTTTTTGCTTCATTATTACCAGAAATACTTTTATTTTCGAGCGCAAAAACATCGGGTACCCGACAGGAGACCCGTCGCGGAGCAAGGGCAGAGTCAGCGGACGAGTCGCAGCGCGTGCTGTGCGATGTAGGACGTACAGTGGTACATTCTATTTAACTTGACGCGAAATCACTACAGTACGCGCTGCGACTCGTCCGCTGACTCTGCCTTCTTGCCGCGCGACGGGCCTCCTGTCGGATACCCAATAAAACTACCTATTCAATCGCGGAATTTGCCTAAGAACGGATTGCGGGAGCAAGAGCTCGTGATCTCGTTGGAGGCATAGCCCATGGATGAGAGAGCCAATGTTTCTTTTCATGTAGCGTTCGAGTGTCAAGCCGAAAGCTTGTTTTTACCGCATTTGTAACAGCTTTCTATCAGGTTTCAGTTCTCTTGTTATAGCTAATCAGTTGACATATCAGTTCCCATGGATGCTTAGGAAGAAGCGCTTCAAAGCATAACAACTCACATCGCATTGCTCTTTCTTCACGTCTGTTTGACAGCGGGCTTTGAGAATAAAGCCATGGACATTCGGGTGCTGAGGAGGTCCACGTCAACGAAAGCGCCATACCAAGCGCCTTGTCTGAGCCTTCGCATTGAGCTCGCACATAGTGCATAACAAACCCGAACTGCAAAGGCGATATCATATGGAGTTCGGTAGAGGAACACAGTTCAGAAGTCTTGAGGAATTCCTAACAATACGCCGCAACTGACCAAATAATTGAGAAGAGAATAAGCAGCTTGACTGGGCAGCGGATTGAAACGAAGGATCAGTTTGCGCAAAAGTGACATGAGGTACTCCTGAAACATGACAGAGCTTACGGTTAGTCGGAAACAGTTTAAAAGTGATGAAGGCTACGGTTTGTGTGAAGTTTCTTTTAACCAAGTGGGGTGTTAATCGCAGTTGTAATCAGGCTGGAAACTCACATAACTGGCCGTGGTACGGTATTCATTTGAAAGCGTCTGAAAGAAATGAAACGATAGTGTCGAAAAAGGAAACGGAAAGCGTGGATGCAGAACGTATCGCAAGCGATCTTTGGCGTAAATCAAAACGTGCCGTACAGCCGAAAAGAGTGCGACCCGATCAGATTGGGACATAGCTCGGATAACCCCAACGTGCAGGCTGGGGAAGGGTTGGGCCTCCAGTGAGCGATGGTGCAGCCAATAAACGTAAATATTTTTTTTAAATTTACATCATATCAAAAAAAGAAGGAAAAAGAAAAAGAAGCATAGAAAAGATTACAATACATGTAGGCATGCGAGAAGACGATAGTTATTTAAATCGTGCTTTATAAGCCGAGACGCGGCATATACAGGGGGGGGCCAAAAAAAAAGACATTTTGCCTATGTCGGACTTCGGCTCTTTTTTCTTCGCAGAGATTGCTGTCGTTGACGGGAGTTCCTCAGCAGAGTATTCCCTAAGTGTTCCTCTATTAGTGTACGCAGGCTCTCCTTCACTGCCCTCACCGTCTTCAGAATATGACGTCATCTGTCACCGTCGTCAGGCTCAAGGAGGTCTACCGTAAGAGCTTCAGCCTGAAGCTCTTACGCAATTTCGTGAATCGATTTAATGTTGGATAGTTTTCTAGAGGCATTAGCTACCACTGTGCAAATCCCCTCGGAACTAGCTTTCCAGTAAGGGTCGTTATGGTACACGATCCTTCGAAGACCCCATTGAGATCGACCAGTGCACCATGTTTCCAGGGCTAATTCTTCTGATGCCGTCCACGTACGTGGCCACTATGAAGATTTTCTTATAGAATGGAATGCACTCTTTAATAATAAGTTGGAACCGTTCGGTCTGAGTTGAGTAAAATGTGCTTAAATCCATCTGGAAGTGGAGACAAAATGTCTTTTTTTTTTATTTTTGGCCCCCCTGGGGAGACTCACATGCACCTCATGCACATCGACTTTCGGACTCAAACGAGAAAGACCGAGTATTCGAACGAGAAAACGCATTTTCAGTCACGTTCCCAGAAATTCTGCGATAATTTTGGGAATTGGGGGAATATGCTAATCTGGGTGAGTTACCCAAACGCTCCCGAAGATCCAAGAATTCACATGGCTAGGTCGTGAAACGATAGCAACTGCGCTCGTGACCATTTCCCACTATATGGTTGCAAATATAGGGCATGATGAAGGCCTGTAAGGTTGAGATTAATTCCCGAGGACAAGTAGAGGAACCGTCTCTTTATTTACGGAAACAAAAATCAGAACAATCACCTGTGCTAGCAGCTTTAGCAACAAAAGCCTGATGTGGTAAATCCATCGCAACCCCCGCTAGCGTATTAGAAGTACGGCGTGCTCCACGGTTCGGCTCGGTTCACTTCGTGAAATAGGAATCGTTTTCAACTGGTGAAGTGCCCGGGGGAGATGCCTATGTAAAGCTTCTGTGAGGTTTGTGCAAAACCTCCCATTGCAACGGAAGGGTTTCCTGAGCTTCAACATTCCTATTTCACAACGTCTCTGAAGAAAGAAGCGCAGCAATTAACTTACGCTTTTCATCAAAAAGCTAGCCTCCCACGGGGAAAACTCGAAACACGAACGGTCTCGGTATGCGAATACTCGGCGTACTCGTTCAGTTATACCAGTAAAAGACCGTAAATCAATTTTTTTCATACCTGGCGCTCTCGATTGGTAAGCTTCTCGAGAAAGTGACGAAAGAACAACGAGGGATCCTCGACAATACACGTCCAAATCACTTTTCGAGAGACGTCTCCGACTGAAAAAGATTCGTAGATTCTCACTTCCTATTTTTTTAAACAGGATAGTATAGTGGTGAGAAGGGTCGCTACCGCACTATGGTCCGGCTATCAAATCCCGTATACATCTTGCCCAGACCAATCAAACGTCGACACTTGATTAGCCGCTTTTAGAGGTTAAGGTTGCTGCGAAAAGCACATCACTATATTTTAAAAAAGTCGCAGTTCTAAAGGGTAAACTATCCCTCACGCAAGCGC